TCTTTCGACGCCCGTTATATAAAATCAAAGTTCTGCGTAACACCCCTCACTTGGATGACAAAGGTTACACCTACCCACTCCCTCACTCCCTCCCTCTTTCACGCATTGTGCACCGACCCCTCAACTTCATTTAGTCCTTCTGCTTATTTTTGGTTTAAATGTTTCTTCTCTATCTAACGATTGGCCTCTTTCTTTTTGGTGAGGAGGGTCGGGTCTTCAATCCCTCAATCCGATTTACATAGGGGGGTGAATGAGGGGGAGTAATCAATCTTTATCACTCGCCCCTAATGAACACACTTGGGGGTGGGGCACTCAACTTCTCCATTGGTCCTTGCTAAGACCCCGACCAGGCTGCCCTCTGCCACCCGGGAGCGGGCCTAAGCCAGCAGGTTGTTATCTCCCGAGGGGTCCCAGACTGTGAGAGGGCACAAGTGGGACTGAGGGACACCCCCCTCCGCAAGCCAGCGCACAAATTTTTGTGCACCAGGCCTCTAGTATATATATATATATATATATATATATATATATATAGAGAGAGAGAGAGAGAGAGAGAGAGAGAGAGAGAGACAGAGACATAAAGAGAGACAGAGTGAGACAGAGATAGAGAAAGAAAATATTCAACATTGGCAAAATGAATGGTAAAACTCTTGCAGATTCCTAGTACAAATTGCTATAATCCTTTTGGAAATAATTTGGCAATATGATTCAAAAAGCATAAAAACGTTCATTCTCTTTTTTTAATCTACCTCTGGGAACCAATCATAAGAAGATAATCCACATAACAATTAAAAATATAGAGAAGTTATATTTATAAAAATGTTTGTATCCTCATTGACTATAATGCAAAAAGAATCTAAATATTTGATCATCAAGGGTGATTATATTATGTCATATTAAAAAGAATATTGCATGCAATTTAAATGTTGGTTATTAAGAATACACAGCAATATAAAATTATTTGCTGTTAAGTGAAAAAGAATAAAGAATGAGGTAGCACTCTGATCAAACTTATGCAAAAACTACACAGGAAGCCACACTAGAAAAAAAATACATTAAAAATAATAATGGCTGAATTAAAGTGACAAAAATATGGGTGATTTTATTTTGCCAATTTTCTGTAATATAATTTTGTTACTTCATCGTGATTAAATGAATAAGATTTCTTTTGAGAACTGTAAAATTATAACACTACTATTCATTAACATTAGAATTAATAAATCCTCTATTGTTTTGCTCAAGACTGAAAACAATGAATATAAAATTCTTAAATTTCATTTTCTTTTAAAACTATTTCCTGTGCTATAGAAATATCAAGCTGAATAAATTTCTGGAGAAGAGTGACACTCTGTGGAGAAACAAAAGATGAAATATAAAGTAATTCACTTCTTATTTCTTCATTTACTTTCCATTAGTTCAAAAAGAAGGGAAAACAAATATAGGTAACAGTCAGAATAAATCAATGGAAGTTTAAAGGCCATAATTTGAAATAAATAAAGTTGCCAATCTAAAAACCAGCTCCAAAAGACATAATTAGGAACATGGAAGAATGATAAGGGTTAGTATATAAATCACAGAGTCTACTCTCTCCAGTCTAATAGTGCCTGGATTACGTTTCTGGGAGAATCAGAAAGTATCTGTGAGAAGCCATTTAAGTCAGAATATCAATAATTGTAACATTATTACACAATCTCACAGCATTCACTGATCAACTCAGAATAAAGTCCTTTGCATGCCAGTAAGATTTTTTCATACACATACACATATACATACACTTAATATTTGAAGATTCTAACTGATTCTTCAAACCAAAAGTCATAAACAAAAACAGATAGAGGTAGTTTTACAGAGGAAATATATCCCTTAAAAGTTAAAAGTAAACCAAATTTATGTTAAAATAGTACATATAGCCCAGCCGGCATGGCTCAGTGGTTGAGCGCCAACCTATGAACCAGAGGTCACGGTTTGATGCCTGGGTTGTGGGTTCAATTCCCCAGTAGGGTGTGCAGGAGGCAGCTGATCAATGATTCTCTCTCATCGTTGATGTTTCTCTCTCTCTCTCTCTCTCTCTCTCTCTCTCTCTCTCTCTTCCTTCCACTCTGAAATCAATAAAAATATATATTTTTTAAAAATAGTACATATAAAATTCAGATGTCTTAAAATGTAAACAAACATGCTTAATTCCAAGTTTATATTAGAAATCACATTGAAAAGTAGTGAGTTCTTTTTAAAAATCCAATTAATTGAAGGAATAAATGCTCTATTATTTTAGCAATACTTTTCCAATTACGTTTCAAAATACAAAAATTATGATCAAATAAAACATTGTTCTATAAACAATGTTTCCTCTTGGATAGAGACAAGTTGGAGATAAATGTACCCTGCTTATTGCCTGCTTTTATAAATTCAGTTATTTTCTATTGAGATGTAATTAACATATAACATTGCCCTAGGTTTTTTTAAAATATATTTTTATTGATTTCAAAGAGGACAGGAGAGGGAGAGAGAGAGAGAAACATCAATGATGAGAGAGAATCATTGATTGGCTGCCTCCTGCATGCCCCACACTGGGGACCAAGCCCGCAATCTGAGCATGTGCCCTTGACCAGAATCGAACCTGGAACCCTTCAGTCTGCAGGCCGACACTCTATCCACTGAGCCAAACCAGCTAGGGCTTGCCCTAGTTTTTGGAGTACTCAGTGTATTTACCTATGACTACCCCAAATCATTAATAAGTATGTCATTAATGACCCAAAGGCTCTGTTCTTAGGACACTCTTAAGAACTACACTGTTGTTAATGTGTTTATTTAATGTATTTTAAAAATTGATAGGTTTCTACTTCTAAGCTTTCATAACTGAATAAATCATATTTGTCATCTCCCTTTAATTATCAATTTTTGTTATGCTTCCTTATAAGTATCTAAAGTCCTTAAATATTCCAATAATTTCTTCATGTTTTCCTTTATGTATGGTTTAACCACTTAAATAATGATAAATTAATGAATATTTGTCATATAAACTTTTCTCCTATACCCAAAAGAAAACTATTTCATAAGAATTTACTATAATATTGTAAGAATTTATTTAGTGTTTGTATTTTACCATTATTGTTTTGAATAATTCAAGTATCAGAAACTCATATAACTAAGAAGTGGCAAAGAAATGGAAATCATTATTTCAGATCTGTTATCATAGAATCAAGGGCAAATAAATCTGGTATAGACACACTGCCTGGGTTTCATTCCTAACCCTAGTACTTCTTAGCTACATGATCTTAGGCAAATGATATAATTTTTTGTACCTGTTTCTTCATCTGTAAAATGGGGAAAAATCATAATTATAGTACACCTCCCCCATGGAGTTGTTGGTAGGATTAATTTAACAATATATAAAATACTTAGCACTTTGCCTCTGTAACTGGGAGGGGGTGTTACCACCGTGAACAGAGGGGCAACTGAGTGAGGCAGGTTGGGTCACAAGTTGTGGGAATGCAACTTTGTGTCCACACTGGAGCCTGGAAACTTGTAGGTTCAGTCTGTCCTTTAAAGAGGCCAGAAGGCAAAATGACTCCACTCCCACTGCTGATATATAGAAGTGCAGGCCCAGTATATTAGTTTCCTGTGGTTGCTATAAAAAAGTTAATACCACAATTTGTGGCTTAAAACAACAAATGTATCCTCTCAAGAGTTCAAAAGGCTTCAAAAATCTAAAATCAAGGTGTCAGTAAGACCACATTCCTTCCAAAGGTTCTAGGGGAGAATCTATTCATTGCTTCTTCCAACACCGGAGGCGGCTGGCATTCTTTGGCCTTCGCTGGCTTCAGGCCACATCACTCCAATCTCCTCCTCCATGTTCACTTCACCTTCTCCTCTGTGTGCCTCCTCTTCAGTCTCAAATCTCCCTCTGCCTTTCCTTATATAAGGACACTTGTCATTGGATTCAGGGCCCATCCACATAATCCAAAATGATCTCTTCATCTCAAGAGTCTTAATCTAATTACCTTTACAAAGACCCTTTTCCCACATAAGGTAACATTCAGAGGTTCTGGGAATTGTCTGGACATACCTTTTCAACCTACTAGACCAGTATTTCCTATCTTCTGATAAATTTTTTATTGTCTCTGCTTTTTATTTTACTTTTAATTAAAAATTTATTATTGAAAATATTGCATATGTCCCCTTTCAATCTTCTGATATTTTAAGCATAGTAGAAAATATGGATTTTTATGAGTAATCTCCCACTATTTAAGTGTTAGCTTAGATATAAAGCTTAACACGGGTTATGAAAAACTAAAAATGCTTATTTTCATTTTCTAGGGAAGTAGTCATATAGAATGAAGGCATAAAAAGATCACAGTTTACAAGAATAAGTCAGATGCTCAGGTGCTCAAATAACTATTTTTTAAGATATATTTTTATTGATTTCAGAGAGGAAGGGTGAGGGAGAGAGATAGAAACATCAATGATGAGAGAGAATCATTGATCAGCTGCCTCCTACTTGCTCCCCACTGGTGACCAAACCTGAAACCTGGGCATGTGCCCTGACCAGGAATCTAACTAACCATGACCTCCTGGTTCTTAGGTCAATATTCAACCACTGAGCCACACCAGTTGGGCCCAAATAACTATTAAACAAAGATGAATGATAAAGGACTGGTCAATTATATGTGACATGGTTATCTTTGTAGAGATTTGGAAACCTATTATCTTTAAGAAACATCAATAGAGTTGATCCCATAGATGAAAAACATTCATACATGTCTTTATATTTGCTTGTAAAATCACCAAGTAATTTTAGAGTGATATATACTTACACACACACACACACACACACACACACACACACACACACACACACACAAATTATCATGATTATCTATGGGGGATCTGGTCAATTTGGAAGATACATCACTATATCTTTTCTATTAATTTTATGTCTGAAACATATCATTGTATTACGTCTTCAAAAAATAAATCAGCCCTAGCTCAGTTGATTAGAGAGTTGTCCTGATAGGACAAGGTTTCAAGTTCTATCCCCAGTCAGGGCACATACAAGAAGCAACCAATGAATGCATAAATAAGTGGAACAACAAATCAATGTCTCTCTCTCTCTCTCTCTCTCTCTCTCTCAAATCAATAAATAAGAAAAGTTAAATAAATAAAAATAAACTTTTCTTTAAGTCCATAGGTAATATATCTAACACTTGTCCCAGGATACAATATAATTAAACTTACATTTGTAATTCATGGAGCCAATATAAACTTTTTGCCATGGATCGTCCATCATTAAAATGTGGTGTTGGGACTCCGTACAGGTTAAACCTATGGAAAGTTGATGGGTTATACTTTCGGTTCTTTGCTTCTCCTGTGAAAAGAAAGGGGAGACTTCTGACTTCTGCAATACAAATAACATTATCTTGAAGGAAGCACATTATGTTCTCATTGACATTGAAAATGAGAGTGGAACAAAGAATGAAACTGTAACAGTGCAGAGACCTGCACATACAGTATTTGGCAACAGATGACAGAAGCGTTCTCCCATGTGAAGTAGGAGACTGGTGGACAAGAGTTCCTTGTGTTAATATTTGGAAAGCAGGCAGGCACATGATGAAAAATGCAGACCCAATTAACATTACAGGAATCCTGAAGATTGGGGAGGTTGGGCAATGCTCTGGGGTCCCAGGAGTCCTTCCCATTATGCTAAGATCAGAGAGGTTGGTGTTCTGTACTCGCTTTCACTGAGATTTAGTGACATGAGAACACTGAAACCCTCACAGTTCACTAAAATCATTTATCTCATATTAGAAACATTCAAAGGGTGATTGAGAGCAGAGAACACAACAGGGAGGTCTTTATATTGAAGATCTAATACTGTGGTTTTTTCTTTTCAAGTCAAAATGTAGCATTAGTTTCTATTTCTAGATTAGAAAGTAAGACTGAAACTAGAGATCAGCTCAAAGGTTAAGATATAATGGAGAGAAGATATTCAGACTCACTAGTAACCCAAATAATGTAAAGAAAAACAATCATGTGAAATTATAATTGATCTCTCAGTTAAGTAACAATAAAGAAGATTGGCCCTAACCAGTTTGGCTCAGTGGACGGAGCGTTGGCCCAGTTTGATTCGGGTCAAGGACATGTACCTTGGTTGCAGGCTCCTCTCTGGTGGTCCTGGTCGGGGCTCCTGCAGGAGGCAGCCAATCAATGTGTTTCTCTCACATCGATATTTCTCTCTGTTTCCCCCTCTCTCTTGATCTCTCTCTAAAAATCAATGGGCAAATATCCTTGGGTGAGTATTTAAAAAAAAGAAGAAAAAGATTGGCAAACTCACTATATAGGAAGATGTGGGGAAGTGAAAATTCTCATATTCTGTGGGTGTGAGGGCAAATTGGGGAAGCTATCAGGAGAACAGTTAGGCTTTAAGAGTGAAAATTTCAGATGCTCAGAAATATAGGAATGTATCCTAAGGAAATAGATCATAGTCACAAAGATATATAAGCAATATTTTTAATATTGAAAAATATAATATTGAAATGCACATGAAAAGATAGCCAAGATTTCATACAATGGGAGAGAAAGCAAATAGGAAAAAACATATATACAGCAGAGCAAAATACACACATATACTCATATATGAATGAGCAAATACAGCTATGAGAGTATCATCTGTGCAAGATCGGGAACTGTGGGAGATTTTCATTATACTTTCTGTATTTCTCTATAGCTTGCAATTTATAAAAGAAATACCTATTACTTCAGTAATGATTTAAATTAAGTATATTTAAAAGAAGTTGTAGATGTGTACCTATTGAATAGTGTCCTTGACATATTAAGTTAAAAAATATGTTTAAAGTATACAGCAGGTTCCCCAAAAGCATTAAGAATAAGATCACATTTAACTAAAGATAGCTCAATGAATAGTGTATTAGAAAGATGTTTAATATAAAAACTGTAGTCATCTCTGGTTGAATGGGATTTCAAGGTTACATTTACTTTTTCATCATTTTTTATATTTAAATTATGCACTATATTATGTATTTTTATAATAAAAATATAAATAATTTCATTATGAAAAAAATAAGAACAATATTGAAAAGATTGGATTTCATGACTTTTCAAGAGGCTAATGAAACATCTGTAAAAATCAGCAAATGAAGTTAAGTTCTTCAAAATATATTTTTTTAATCTTCACTCATTTACCTCCAATTGCTAAATGCATCTAGTAAGATATCTCATTGTAGGCTGTCTATATACATTCATTCAAACAGTTCTTTTTAAAACAACTATAAGGCATTAGATTAGATTGTGTGAGAGATGCTAGACTTTTTCCAAAAAGTAAATAAAATATTTTTGCAAGAAAGGAAGGGAGGGAAGGAGGAAAAAAGGAAGAGAGGACTAGAGGGAGATAAGGAAGAAAGGGAGGGAGAGAGTCAGAAAGTAGAGGAGGTGGAGATAGAGAGAGAAGTCGAGGTTGTGAGAAGGAACATGGTGACCAAACGGGTGGCAGGAGTGGCTGTCTGAACAGCAAGGTAGAGACAATCTCAAGACTGGGATCCTGTTAGAGTGTAGGAACCAGCAGACATTGGTCATGAAAGAAGAGAATGGCAGATTCCAGACAGTGGAAAATGAGCATAGGATACAAGTCCCAGCTATGAAGAAAGTTTAGAAGGAAGACCATAGACTGGGAGTAAGATGGAGGAGAAAAAGTAAGGAAATAAAGAAGGAGCAAGGGAGAGAGGTGCCTTGAGCTGCAATCAAGGGAGAGTCTTGCTTCTAGCTAATGGAAGTTGAGTTCATGAATCATTCACAATTCAGCAGCTTTCTCAGAACATATAACCGAGTCTAATTCTCAACCCTCTATCATATCACGATTCTACTTAACATCAACACATTAACAATCAAGTTGTGTTTTATAGCACTATAAACACCGAATGCCTTTCAGCTGTGCTGTAGAATAATTCCAGTAATAGGGTTACTATTAATCAAAATGACTTAATACTAATACCTATTGAGCTTTTACCATATTCCAGGCACTATGCTAAGTCTTTTGCAAGCACTCACTTAATCCTTACAATATTATTATCCCCATTTAAGAGACTAGAATAGATGTTAATAGGACAATTAAAATGCCCAAGGTCTAAAAGATGAGGTAGAATTTGAACCGGATATATCTTATTCAGAAGTTGTTCACTTAACCAATACCCAATCAATATTCCTCATATAAAGCTAAGCACTTAGAATAATCCTGACATTTAAAAAAGAACAGTATTTTAAAGCCTAAAACCACTAAAACAAAATAACACTATCTAGCATTTAATCTCTCTTACCTGTCTTTTCATTTTAATGATACATACATTACTACATTTTATATACAAAATGTTTAAGGGTATGTGGTCCCAGCTATGGGGGTTTATGACATTATTTTTTAAAATGTTATTATTTATTGATCACCCATGAGATGCCAGGCACTTAACTTTATGCACATTATCTCTTTTATTCCTCTTCACAAATCTGAGAGTCCCATATTGTCAGGCCTATTTTATACTGGAGGACACTTACCCACATAATAATCATTGTGAGAAACAACATATAGGTCATGCCCTTCCTCTCCTTCTTTAAATACTTGATGATAGGGTTTCGGTGGATTCACCACATCTCGAGCAGATATATCTAAAGAAATAATTAATCACATCAGTTTTAAGGTATTTTAAAAATCTATTTATACCCCTAGCTGGTTTTTTCTCAGTGGATAGAGTGTCGGCCTGGGAACTGAAGGGTCCCGGGTTTGATTTTGGCCAAGGGCACATGCTCAGGGTATGGGCTCAATCCCCAGTAGGGGATGTGCAAGAGGCAGCCAATCAATGATTCTCTCTCATCATTGATGTTTCTATCTCTCCCTCTCCCTTCCTCTCTGAAATCAATATATATATAATCTATTTACATTTAAATTAAGTAGAACAAATGACAAACAAGGTAAGCTGAATGCATAAGCCACATGGCTACCCTAGGAGAACACAAAGCCAATAGAAATGAAGATTTATCAAGATAGATGGCACATAGTCCAGATGTTACTGTTCTAGGAACCCTCATTTGACCTGGCTCGCTCCCTAGAAGTCTGAAGAATATCAAAACTCTGTACCAGTTAACCATTTAGGTTGTTCTGAGCCATATCCCAACCCCAGTTAAATTCTCAATTCTGAGACTCTAGACAATTTTGATTTTAGTTTGCTCCAGACTTCTCATGATGATCTAAGCAAATTTGAATCACAAATCAGTTTCAAAAACCCTGATGCCCTGTGGGGGAGCCTTGGTACAAATTTTGGCAGCTGTAGACTGGAACATACACCCTAAGTCTGTTTAGATTTGAATATCCATCTTCAAAGTAGCCAAAAGTACCAGGGAAATCACTGGAATAAGAAAGAAATTCTTCTTCTTACTGATCCCAAACCTAGAGCTATAACTTGTTTGTTTAGTAGCTGTTTTCTCAGGAGTGCTGGCCCACAATAGTGAATTATTTTGTTTTCATTATTTTACATAATGATTTTAAAATAATAATTCCACTTACAATTTTACTCTTTCAACTTAACATAGATTACTACTAATAATATATACTAATATATTATAATACCTAGAGGCCCGGTGCATGAAATTTGTGCACTGGGGGGCGGGGGCGCCTCCCTCTGCCTGACCTATGCCCTCTTGCAGTCTGGGACCCCTTGCTCCTTACCACCCGCCTGCAGCAGAGGCGAGAGAGGCTCCTGCCACCACCGCTGCGCTCGCTAGCCATGAGCCCGGCTTCTGGCTGAGCGGCACTCCCCCTGTGGGAGCGCACTGACCACCAGGGGGCAGCTCCTGTGTTGAGTGTCTGCCCCCCTGGTGGTCAGTGCACGTCATAGCGACTGGTCAGTCCAGCAGTCATTCAGCCGTTTGGTCAATTTGCATATTAGGGTTTTATTATATAGGATTAATATATAGTTATAATAAATACATCTGTTATGTATTAACTAAATATATAATCACTAATATATTTGTCATACAATTAATATATAATTAATGATATAATAATTATAAAATATAAATCTATTTATAATTTCACTCTTCCCTTTCAACCTAACCACATGTTTTCTTCCTTTTGGGCTTTCTGCCAGAACTGAGGTCTGTAAACAAACAGTTAAGAATACCTAGCCAGGTTTGGCTCAGTGGATACAGCATCAGCCTGCATACCAAAGGGTCCGGGGTTTGATTCTGGTCAAGGGCACGTACCTTGATTGCAGGCTCCTCCCCGGCCAGGGCCTGGGTCAGGGCGCATGCAGGAGACAACCAATTGATGTGCTTCTCTCACATTGATGTTTCTCTCTGTCTTTCCCTCTCTCTTCCACTCTCCCTAAAAATCACTGGGAAAATATGCTCGGGTAAGGTTTAACAACAACAACAAAAAAAGAACACCAGAAGGTGGTCATGCTCAGAATAATACTGTAAAGCAGTACTTCTTTCTACTAGAAGAACCACTGTAGTTATTAACATACACATACACATTTTGGAACATGATATGTTTAAGTGAGGTACACCTAGACAGTACTTTCCTTATTAAATGAGCTAGTCCTAGACAGCACCTACGATATCATTACTGTAATGCTGTAATGCCATGTCTACATAAACACAATTTTTAATTCTATTAAAAAGAAAAAAAGATATTTTATCTGTTCTAAAATACATTTTCCATATTTCAAATTTTAACTTAAGATCCGATGCAATAAAATACAACTGCATATTTTGCATTCTAAGAAAGAGGCATAATTTATATCCAGGGTGGTGTTACTATATTAAGGAAAATAATCTGATGGACTTTTTGGTGGAAAAAAGTCCTGGAGCAGAACCTTAATGGGTGCAGAAAGACAAAGAGAATGGAATTTCTCTGCAGGACAAAGATGGAATTTGAGGTCTCCTGTAAAAACTCTGGAGACAGGGTAGAAACCTGAAAAAGACAGAAGATAAATGTGAGAAACGTGTAAAGAAAGGTGCCTGACAACATGGCAGGAAGCTGGGGCTTCAGAATAATGGCCTGTGATCAATTCAATTATACGTTGTCGTTTGTTGAAAGATGTGCTCCACTCCCTCTCAAAATGAGAAGACAAGTCTGCTCTATACACTGCCTATGTTTGTTAATATGTGGTAGACACTGGGGATCTGCATGTGCAGAAGGAGGTGTCAGCGTTTACCAAACTTATTTGTTGCTTGACCTACTTTATGGAAGAGTTTCATAAAGAGTTAAGGCGTATGAACACACCAGGGGCATTAGTGAAGAAGAAAAAAAACAGCCACAAATGGATGTCCAGGGAGAAGGGATTGCAGCCTACACTGCTAGTCCCAATGCCAACTTTCCTGTCTTTTTTTTTAATAATTATTTATTAGGGGGGGGGGGGAGAGAGAGAGAGAGAGAGAGAGAGAGAGAGAGAGAGAGAGATTGACTTGTTGTTCCACTTATTTATGCATTCATTGGTTGCTTCTTGCTTCTTGTATGTGCCCTGACTGGGGATCGAACCTGCAACCTTGGTCCTTGGCACATGGGGATGACACTCTAACCAACTGAGACACTCAGCCAGGGCTCTCTTTCCTGCCTTTATATCATATCTACTATGCTCACCGGATCGCCATTTCAAAACCTGAACTTTTACTGCCTGGCACACATAAACTCTAAGGATTCTGGGTCTAAGAGTAGCTTTGTTGCTATTATCCCATCTCTCATTCTTTAGTCATCAGTGGCACCACCACCACCAACAAACACCATGCCAATGGGATATTTAATTCAATTTTCTGAGAATTTTTTTTGCCACCCCTCCTATCCCTTATTTTATTTACTACCTCTGATGACTGTTGTTCCAAATGTCGTATTGAGTACATCCAGGCCTTTAGGTAATCCTGGTGATTGATCATGAGATTTTCCTAATGGTGCTCGTTGATTACTAAAATATATTGATTCCTTTTTATCTTTAATTTTCTGTTGAAATGTTGTAATAGGCTGTGGGTTTATCAATACATTTGCCTAAAGAAATCATACAAAGCACAGATGTAAGAACAAAAGAAGCAAAAATCTAAAAGCTGACACTCTAATCATAGCTAGAGAGAAGAAAATATGATTGTAGAAAAATAACTCATCACTGCTTTGCTCACCTTCAAAGGAACTTTAACCATTAGGACTATGAAGCTTAAACATGTCTAAACATGAACTTTCAAAGGGGTTAAAAGGTTTCAATGGGGTTAAAAGACTTATGAGAGGAGCTCCCAGGTTACTTGACTCCAATATTCCAGAAAAATGGAAATGCCAAACAAAAGAAACGCATGAATTCAACAAATGTTTTTTTCTGAATCTAGATTGTCCATTCAATAAATGGACATCTCCACTCACTCAATATATCTACTGGTAAGCACTTAGTAGTACCTCTAGGCAATAATCACCCAGCCTTCGTTGTTCCCTACAAAGCCTGACAGCATTTCTTATTACTGTCAGAATATGGAGTGCAACTTGGCTTTTAATATCTGAGGGGAGGTTATCAAGTTTGTAGTTTTAATCATTAATTTTTTCACATTCTTTTGGCTGCTATTTCTTCGATTCCCCCCACCCCACCCCACCCCCCAAAAAAAAACTATTAGAAAAAGTTCATTTAGAAAGTCACAGAGGTAGAAGTGAGCCATAGAAGAAATGGGCTCAGAGAATAAGAGGCAAAAGAAGGACCCTTGGAGCTTAGGAGAGAGAAAGGTAAAGGTAATGCACCTGGGGGGAAGAAGAAGGAAAGGGGAAAGACACGAGAGTCGCCAGTTTTGGGGGTTTATTTTTCCAGTGCTCAAGATGTAGGGTGGAAAGGAGAATGGAAGTGATGATTTCATTAATACCTCATTTGTGAATTTTCATCTTGGTAAGTCAGTAGTAATATACAGGGAAAAAAGAAAGTTACCGGTAGTGAACCTTTAGTTCTTATTCCATGTGTCAAATACTGTGCAATTTGAGGATCATTTGCTCTGCCATAAAATACTCTTTCAGCTCCAGCAGGTGGATATCTGAAGTTGAAAAATTTTTTTGCCTCAGGTGGAGTAATTGGCTACAAACAGTGAGATAAGAAAATAGAATTATTAAGTACAGTTTCTAAAATATTAGGACTGATCTGTATCAGAGATTTTCAACCAGTGTGCTACAAGTACTTTTAAAACATGCAATACCTGACTATTTAGTCAGGGGCACTGACCTCTTTTCCCTTAGATTGTCAAATAAAAAAATGACAACAGCCAACACAAAGATAGCCATCTGGTATGACTGAATCAAACTTATACCTATTTTTTTTTCAGGTCGGCAAAAAATATATTTTTTTGGTGTGCCACAGAATTTTAGTTATTAGTTTATGTGTGCCATTGTTATCGAACCCAGAAAAGCTGTTATCGGACAGCCCCTTGAGTCAGAGGAAGACGGCTGTCCCCTCCTCAGTTTTTATCAATCTCGTAGGAAAGATTTCAAACAACTGACAGTGGACAGCGGTACTGTAGCATTGAATGTATTGAGGAAGCAAAGCAAGCAAATTTATTAAGAAAGCAAGGCAAGCAAATTTATAAAAAATATACTTGGCATAAAGCACAAGTGAGCACCCAGCTAATATGAGTGTCCTGCCTGGTGGAGGTTTAGGGTTTTATACTTCTCTGTCTACAGGTTTCAAGGTTCCACTGCCGGATATCTTGGGCGCAGACTAGATTACTTTGCTGTGGCTTTCCCAGAATTTATGAGAACATCTGGCAATTTTATGTTGGAAAATCCCAAGACTGCTGACTTCCTTGTTCAGCGAGTGAGATAAAATTCTCTCTTCTCTCCTTCCCCGCTTCCCCCTCCTGCCTTAGCAGTGCCAAGGTGATTTAAGCTATGTATTCTCTTATTAGGGAGGAGAGGTATGAATCATTTGTTCTCAAGTGTCCTTGGTTGGGGAAGATAAGCTCTTGTTGCAAGCTGCCCCTGCAAGCTGCCCAAACTGCTTGGCCTTGTTTAATTTTCTTGTCTCAGTTTCTCTATTCCACTTGTCCTGGCTTACTGGCCTGTCACACCATGAGATGAAAAAGGTTGAAAACTGCTGATCTATACCAATCAATGAACGCCCTTCATTGCATGCGTATAGTAAGCACATGGGGACCTACAGCTCCAAATAATAAAATGTCCTGAGATTTGTTTTTTAGTGAAATAAACAATTTATTTTAAAAGTTACATTTAGAGAACAATCAGGAAGTATCCAGGTTAGAAAGCATACCATAAATATTTCCTTTTAAAATAAATGGAATCCCCTCTGTAGCTTTTTATAAAGCTGGAAATCATAGAACTGGAATTTTCACTTCCTTGGATAAAATCTATAGAAGCCCTCAAAATACAATAGAGAGTCCAAATCTAAATCCAATACATTAAGTTTAAACAACTTGCACAGGAATGTTGAAAGTTGTCTATCTTCTAAAGTTCACATTCAATGTAAAAATATAAACACAAATGCATATTAAAAATGCTCACCCTTGGAAGTTTTTCAGTCAAGCAGGTTGCAACTCTGTATCCAATCGGAATAACTTTCCCTGCCTAAAAACAAACAAAAAAAAGCCTCATAGTTGATCATTGTGGAGGAAATGGAGGGTGAGAGATGGGAAGGGTGGAGGGGCTTGGGGGTAACATTTCAAAGAATGAAATTTATTTCAAAATTACCTATGCTTCTAATGCTACAAAAGTTACTTTCAGCTACTTAACACAATTGAGGAAAAAAGTAAGAACAAATTGCAAGTCTAAAGCAATCTTGATATATAATATAAACATTAAATTATATATATATATATATATGTATATATATATATGTATACACACACACACACACACACACGTTTTTACAGTGCTAGCATTGTAATCCAATCACAGGAGCTCTGTGAAAAGCTAAGGGAATCAACTTTCAGAAATAATCTTGTCAGAGTTCATATCAGTACAATGGGGACATGGCTATATTCAAGCTAAACTCAGAATAAAATGTTAGGTAATTCCAAGTGTGTGGGTGTGTTTGTGTGGGGATATATTTCCACCCACACCCTAACTTTTGGTATATGCAAACACATCACCCACAGGCCCAGATCCTTCAGTGAATGTCCATTGTTCACTTGATTCAAATTTGAATTTTATCTTTCTTTTTTTGCCCAAGACAAAGATTATAACTGTTCATTCCCAGCAATTCACCTCTTATCTATTTCCCTTTTATCATTTCAAGGCAGCTGACAGTTATGTCTTCAATCTCAGTTGGGTGCTCTTTAGGTCTGGTGCAGAGGTCTTGTCCTGGGAATTTTTCCTTTGCCTTTCTTCAGAGCTAGATTGCCCATTCCTCCCATCTACTCCTCCTTTTGGGTTTACTCCCCCATTTCCCTGAAGAAAATTCTTTAGTCATTATAATGCATTAAAAGCCAATTTATGATTCCTTACACCCTTGAAAATGTCTTTATTCTACTCTTACATTGGTTAATAGTATGACTTGGTATGGACTACAAGGTAGGAAATATGTAATTTTCTTTCTGAATTTTGAAGGCATTATGCCAACGTCCTTTAAAAGATGGTCTTGCCTGTCTGGTGTGGTTCAGTTGGTTGAGTGTTGTTCTATGCACCAGGCGCTTGCATAGAAGGACTTTCAATCCTTTGATTTTCAGACCCGAGCTTTACTATACCTTCTCCCAAAGGCTGAGCTTCTCAGAGACTGTTCCAGGCAAATTGGACCATTTCTGGTGGAAATTACCACCTGATTCCCCTCAAACTTCATTGTTTTCCTGCTCTTAAAAAATCAGTTGCCATACCTCCATCTTCCTATTTTCTAATATTTATTGAAATTTCTTAACTGTTGTCTCCTCTTCTGTTTTCTTTTTCCTTGTGGCTTATTACCTTTATTTTTAAAAATATGTTTGTATTGATTTCAGAGAGGAAGGAAGAGGGAGGAGAGATAAAAACATCAATGATGAGAGAGAATCATTGATCAGCTGCCTCCTGCAGTGATCCACCTATTGGGGATTGAGCCTGCAACCCAGGCATGTGCCCTAACCAGGAATAAAACCATGACCTCCTGGTTGATGTTTAACCACTGAGCAACACCAGCCGGGCTGGTTATTATCTTTAAAAAAACTACTAAAGGCCTCAGAAATCAGGAAATTCTGTAATGACCCCATTCAAATATCACCAGTTGCCCTAATACTGTCCTTTATAGCAAAAAGAGCAAATCCAAGATCATAATGGATTCTCTGAGAAGCAGACACCAAGATTAGACATGTAAGAGATTTTTTACAGAAAAGAACTGTGAAAGATAAAGGGGGAGGAGATGGCAGGAAGAGCTTTTAGACCATGACATCTGTGAAAGTATTAGGGGCAAAAATAGAATATTGGGGACTAGCTATAGTTATAATAAATATTAATCATACCCTGTTAACTGAGATTGCCTTGTTCTGATTAAAGAGTGGACATTCTAACCTGGCTGCGAGTTGTATGCCCCCAGGACCTGGGAGTCAACCTTGGACCTGGCAGTCAACCTTGGACCTGGCAGTCAACCTTGGAATGTTGTCCATTCTTGTTCAAGAACTGTCTATTAACCCAACAAGATTAACAACCTTGTTGCCCAAACAATGGAGTCTCTCCCCAGCCCCCATAGCCTACTTCCCCATGTAATCTTCCTCCTACCCAATATAAGCCAGTTGGCTTATGGGGGGCTGCAGAGCAGATTTTTGTGGGTGACCTGCTGCTTTCCCATACTGCTGGCATCATTGGAATAAACGCTCATATATGATTCAACCCTGTCACTGCTTAATTGGAGCAAGTAGTGACCTTGGGATAACTGTGCTGTCCTTCCCAGGTACAGAAGAATGTGCTTTCTAAGACCAGTATGACCACAACCCATGGGATATTCACATTATAATCAATAGGATATTCAATCGAATGGGATAATTTATATAATTCAGAAAATTAAAATAACTTCTATTATTTTAGCAAGAAAATAAGTACAGAAACCAAACAGCAGGGTTAGAGTTAAACTACAGTTTCTACCTGTGATGATTGCTACCATACTTCAAAAGGAGTGAGGGAAGGAAGTATTAAGAAGAAAGAATGTTGGCACAAAGAATTTGGCACAACCAAATGCCCTGGGCACCAGGACAGATACCACAAATTCCTTCATTGTTATTGTTATCATGTTAATTGTTGGCTAACTATTCTGTACCCACCTAAGTAAAAGAAGTATGTATCCATTATTTTACTCTTTATCCAATCCCAGAGGTTTCTCCCACCGCCCCCACCCCTCCACCACCAACCTCACTTTGCTTTCTCCTACCTCTCTAATCTATCATCAATGGATTTCATGTAACCCACCTACATCTCCTCCTTTGATTGCAATGTATAAAAATAGATGAAAAACCGCCATTCTCTGGAGCATTATCCCCATCCATTGAGATTCGGCTTCCTGGCAATTGTCGATAATTTGGCTCAAATAAACTCACAAAAATTCTTGATGTTTTTACCTTAACACTTTCAATAGAACGGTATTTAGAAATCAAGATCTGTGTTTTGGTGTGCTCATTATTACTAGATAAACATTGCTTTAGGTCCTCTGAGAAGATAGAATTAGGAAATGTATGTATATACACAGGCCCCCACACACTAGCATCTGTATCAATTTTATATTGTTTAGTTAAATGTGTGTAAATACACAGATATGGATTTTGACATGGACACACAGAGAGACAGATACAGAGACACAGGTAGAGGTATAGGTGTAGCATCACTTTCCACCAATACCTCCAATTACTATCCAATACAGAAGAATTACTTCTTTCTTCTCATATTTGTAGGGGTTTTTTTCTCTATGAGTGAGAAATCTGGTTCCTATTGTCCTCAATATATTTCCTTATCTGTTCAAGCCTCTGTATGTAACCAAATTCCCACTGCACTGACCAATTCCTTGCTCAGCCACTTCCTTGCTCAGTTCCTAACCATACCAGTGCCATCTCATGTGACCACCTCCTCACCATTCCCCAATATTACAGCTTTCAGTGACCTATTTTACTTCTTACACAGTTGGTTTTCAAGATTTAAGTCAACTTAGGAAGGCTGATAAAAACCAGTCTTGGTTGCTAAAGAGCCAACAACCCATAATCATGTCACCTTCTACTCTCTAAAATCAATGTGGGCTAATATTATGGTTCCATCTTCCCACAGGGCCTTGTCCAAGCTCACTGTGTTTTACCCATAGATATTACCAATTCTGAATATCT